GTAGCAATTCGTTGGAGCGATAAATCTCATCGACACTAAAAATCAGATGTATGAGCTATAAGTTCAGACGCCAAAGAGGGAGCGGAAGACAGAGAGAGAGAGAGAGAGAGAGAGGGAGAGAGGGTGAGCTTGAAAGAGAGGGGGAATAAGGAGTGTCCGGGGTGGGGTGTGAGTAATGCCATTTATATGTCACCATTAATGTCGTGTTATGAAAGTAATTTTCTTAAATTCGCATATTAAACGTTTTGGCCATTAATAATGGAGCCAACAGTTTTTGGCTGGGTTGCTCTGAGGTTGGGCAGTATAATAAAAGCAGAGAGAGAAAAGTTGAGGGTGCAAAAGAGGGGACAAGCGGTGGACAGAGAGAAACGAAAATAACAAACATGAAAATGCTGTGCATGTTCCGAATGATCGCTTCAATAACCACAAAAACCATAAGAAACAGCGCCAGCAGCGAGTGAATGAAGTGAATGAATAAATGAATAATGCTCAGAATGATGCTAGCAGCCTGGCATGATGGACTACACAGAGAGAGAGAGAGAGAGAGAGAGTGGGGGAAACATTTCAGTTGTGGCACATGATAAAAATTTATTTAGAGCAAATAGAAAAGCATGAGACTTGCGGGAATAATAAACTACAACGGGAAGCTGGGTTAAGGTTTAGTATTTTTTCTTCATTGTGCAGCAGCAGGAAATGCCCGGGCAGCTATTGACGGCCCATTGTCTAGAGTGTTTAGGCAAGCAAGCAAGCAAATACACACACACACACACACACACAAACACATGTATGTGCATGCCATATGAGTGCATGTCAGTAGCAATTGCTAGACGAGACGAGCTACGGCTGCCACTGCCACTGCTGCTGTCTGGCTTGGCTGTGTGCGGCTGCCTTCATGCAATAAAATGTGTCTATCAAATGTTTTCCCATTTCCATTTCGTCCTATTCCTTTTGACCCGAAAGCATAGAGTATAACAGGATAATTGCATTTGTAGCCTTTGCTTTGAAATAAAAGCAAAATGTTGCAATTGCTTTTACTCTACAATTTGCATTTATTTGTTTGGTTTAGAAAATAAAAAAAAAAAAAAATTATATTTCTGAGAAGTCAGATATTAAAATTTGTTGAATTCAACAATAATTCTAAAGATTTTTATATGCAATATATGCAGTTATTACTTACATATGACAAACAGAGATATGAGACTACGATTTGACTTATAAATTCTTATTAAATCTTGCTCTTCATACATTTCATAATAAATTAAATAAGAGTTGATTAAAATTTGTAAATTTAAAATGTAAAAATACTATGATAGTCATAAGAAAATATGCATATATACATATAAATTATATATAAATAAGTATATTTGTGCATTCAGTGAGCGACTGAGTACTAAATGTTTAAAATGATTATTAAGACAAGCTTTATATTTTGAATACATTTTATACCAATAATATACTTGATTAAATAAATGAATTAAACACTAATAAATAAGTTAAAATTTTATAAATAAAATAAATACTAATAAATAAATTTTATAAATTTGTAAATAAATTATATATCAATAACTTATAACTAAATAAGTAATATACTAATAAATAAATTAAATAAATTTTAAATAAACTATATAATATAATATAATGACATACTTAATAATTATATATAATTTATAAATATTTTTATATTTATAAATCCATATATGAAAGAATTTAGAGAGACAGAGAATTTTAGGTTTTCATTATTTCGTATATACATTTTCCTTTATTTCCAACTTCTCACAATGTAGAGCATGCACAGTTCGTCTTTATTTAATAATGTATTTGTTGTTTTGCATTGCTTTGGTCATCGCCGTCTTTCCTGTTGCTGTTTGAATGTTTGTCTATTGGTCGGTCGCTGGGTCGTTAAGCTGGTGTGTTTGTATAAATGTGTATGCTGGTGTGTCTGTGTGTGTGTGTGTGTTAAAGGAGTGTGTGTGTGTGTGTGTGTATGTGTCGCTCGGTCCGTTGGCCCGCTCGACCGGCCGACGTTTCCGTTTCCGGCGCCTGTACGCCATGTTGATTTTGCTCAGGCCCCTTCTCTGTTGTTGTGTTTGTTTTGTGCTCTTTGTGTGCTGTTGGATGTGTTTGTTCTTTGGGTTAATGTGCGCACTCGACTGTGCGCAAATTGCTCAAGTGTAGTTGAAGCTGTCCATTCAGTTTTTATTCTCATATTCTCATATTGTACGATATTTAAAGAACCTAAACAAATTTCTCATACCTAATTGTCGTCGGCCCATTAGTTTTATCATTATCATCAGTAGCTGAAGCAGGAGTGGGAACAGCAGCAGCAGCAGCAGCAGGAGCAGCAGCAGTGGCTGTGGCAAAGGCAACAACATCATTATTAACAACGTCATTATCAACAGCATCATCATTATTATCATCTGGGGCATTATTATTTCACTCACATTGGCACCTTCCCATTGTTGAGGCTGTGCCGTCGCTTATCTGTCGGCCATTTGGCCGCTTATTGCAATGTCTTACATTCTTATCATTATTAAGCGCCTCTCCCTTATACCGATTCCCGCATCTATTGCGCCATATTCAACAGCAACAGCAACAGCAATCCACCCAAACTCAAAGCCAAACCCAAACCATGCCTAGACCATTCTATTCCAGTGACGACACTCGGCGGACGCGTTGACAAAATGACAATAGAAACAGAAGTGCCAACAACAAAATTAGAAACGAGGCGAAAACGAATTCTAGGCACTCTGCTCTTTGTCTTTCGACTGTGTAAATTGGGCAGTAACCGTTATTTGACAGTTTAATTGACTTCTTTGATTAAAAAAATGTATTAACATTTTTTAAAAACAGTTTTGAATGTCAAAAAAATACTAGTCTGTTCAATTAGAAAAAAATGTTAACTTTGCTTAAAATATTTTAGAAAACAATTTTCCAACAATTATATAAATTCCAGTATATTAAATTGAAAAAATAAATGTTAAATTTGCTTAAAATAAGAAACGATGGAATTATAATTACTTTTAAATTATTTTGAAAGCTCTAAGATTGCTTGAAGAAATCCAAATTTGTTTATTATTTTTATATTTTTTCTTAATATTCCGTAAGCTATAATGCATATATCTATAACATCAGAAAGCATATTTAACTCATATAAATTTAATAAGGGTCTTAATTTATTTATTTAAATTTCTTAAATATATTTTAAAGAACTGTTACCTGTTTTCTAACAAACTGATATAACCCATAAAGCTGTTAGAGTATTTTGGCACAAAAAGAGAAAAAGGACAGGTGACACTTAAAAATTGCCCAGGTTGCGTTTCTATTGATTTGCCGGCAAATTTTCTTATTTTCAACTCCGACGCTTACCCATCTCGCTGCAAGAAACCATTGAGGCAACCCATTCACAATTTCGATGCCATTGTGAACCGTTTGGCTCTTTCGGCGTGTTGTATCTGTTGCGAGTTTCGTCCTCGTGGCCTCAGCCTTTGTGTCTATTTATTAGCGCTACCTTTCGCTTGTCAGCGTTTCTTTTACCTTTTTCTTGCAACCTTTTTTCTGTTTGGGGTTTGCCTCTTTTTCTTCCTCCGCTTCTACTGCTGTTCTTTGTTGCTCCCACGTTTGCAGTGAGCTACATTTTCATTCTATATTTGCAAATCATCACTATTATTTGCATCTGAACATTTTTATAGAATTCATGGTTTTTCTGCTCGCCCTCAACGGAAAGATATATGAGTGACTTTCTGCCTATCTGCTGCTTTTTCACTTTCTTCTTTTTTCTTGTCGTATGTCATTTTTATTTTTGGTACCTTAATTTTTATGTTAGTTATTTATTTATTTCTATTTTCGGCTTTCTTCTCCTTGGCATCCCTTTTGAATATCCTTCGCTCACGGCAATATTTTTTATCGGTGAGTTAAGGGACTCCTGCCGGAAATTGTAAATTTTTTGTTTGCTGCGGCGTCGCGACATTATCTGCACACTACTTGGCAATGGCAATGCCAATGGCAATGGCAATGACGATGACGCTGCGATAGCGAATGCTATTGGCTGCTATACAAAGGCAGCTCAGCTGACGGCTGAGTTGGGATTTGAATTACATTGCGTGTAGACGAGTCCCCTCAAACCAAAAGCATGCGAAATATTATTGATGTTGCGACTGTGTTAAAGTCAGAAATGAAAGTCTCATTGCTTATGTCATTGAGATGAAAACTTTTTGTGCTGAGTTTCTATAGAATTATTGAAATCGTGTGGTTTGAGCCAAATTTTATTACCGAAATATAAATGCGAGCACATAGACTACAAGCTAAAAGACTGTATATATGATGTATATATATATATGTATATATATTATGCGCAGTTAATTGGGCTTGATAAGCAGCTGACAGTTTATTCAGGCCCTAAGTGCAATATAATGTAGAATTTCGTAATTACATTTAGATCCCATTCCCCACATTAATTTGAAATTCATAATTTCACATTTTTTCTCTCATATTAATATTAAATATTCGTATTTCATTGAAGCTGAACTTTAACCGTTGACCTCATTCCATAATAATTCTTAAACATACTTTGCTTTTTTTTTTTACTTAAATAATATATATATATATTGCCTATGCCCAGAACATATACGCTCTTTAAACAAGTTGAGAAGTTGATGGCCTTAAGAAATAGGAATGTACGAAACTTTTTCAACAAGTTGACAAACTGAACAGTTGCTTAAAAATGTTCATTTCCAATGTGGCTTAGCTCTAACTTGCCCCAGGCTAAGACGCACACACACACACACATACACTCGTTGTGTGTGTGTGCGTCTTACAACTCGATAATTGCGGCTTCAATTTGACTTTAACGAAAACTTTCACAACTTTTTAACTAGCTGCAAGACCCCTGACCCGCCTTAGAACGCTTCTACTCTGCCCCGGCAAAACTTTTCAGCGTACTCAATTGATGGCATTTCAATTCTTTTTATATGCTTCTTCTTCTTTTCTCTATTCTCTTATAGCTGCTGGCAGCGCGGCGCGAGTCGAAATGCGCTACCACTAGGCACAGGAGCTGTAGTTGTTGCAGCAGGTGGAAGCCGACAGAGAAGGAGAGTGTGAGAGAGAGGGAGAGCAGCATAAACTGGCAAGCAGACGGGCCAAAACTGCAGCTGTGACTGGCAAAATCTGCAAACCAAATCCAACTTAAGTCACATCAAATTAAAATCAACAAGCGTTCCACATAGCAAGCGTCCTCCAAAAAAAAAAAAAAAAAAAAAAAAAAAAAAAGCCAAGAACAAGAAAAGCTAACTGCAGCTTTTGGCCAAAGGAAATTACACACACAGAAAAAAAAGGAGGAAGCGAAGAAAGTGCAGAAAGAAAATAGGAGCAGCGCATGAAAATGAAGTGCAATAAAAGTCAAATGGCCACGTTAACAATGTGGAAAATTTTTATGGCTCTGCTGGCTGTGGCTACGGCGTTCGTAATGCCGCTCACATTAGCGCACCAGCACTCGATGCTTGGCGGCGGCGGCGGCGGCGGAGGATCTGCAGGAGGCGGCTCGGCCGCTGGCCACGGCGCTGGCATGGGCATGACCATGGGCATGGGCTCTGGACTTGGGAAGGAAGCACACGGTAAGTCTCAGCTCGGCGCTCTCTTATGCTCGTTGTTATAGTTGTTGATTATTTTAAATGGGTCGCCAATAAATAAATTTAAATATTTAACCAACTCACTCAGTATGCGGGAGCATTGCCAAAAATAAAAAATAAAAATCAAATGCAACGAATAACATAGAAAAGAGAACTTTAACACCTCGTTGCCAAAAGCTCGCAAATGGCGCCATTTGAGAGAACTGAGAACTGAAAACTGAAAACTGAGAAGTTGCAACTAGCAAGCGTTGCACGTGGCAGCTGCTCTGTGTGCTGCCTCGGCACGTGTCCGGGCATTTATGATTTCATTTTGCTTTTGCTTTTTGCCAGCTCCTGCTGCTGCAGTTTCTGTTATCCTGGCCCTTTGCAAGCGCGACGGTGCGATAAAAGGCGCCAGTCGCCAGTCTAAACTCTCCATTAGCAGAAGACATACGCTTATGGAATTTTTAAAATCAAGTACATGACAGTGCCGGGGCAAGATAGTCAGATGAGTTGAATATGAGTATATGCTCATATGAGTATATTCATACATGTGCAATCGATTTTGTATGAATAGTTCGGAATTTAATTTAATTTCATTTCATTTAGCTATAAGAATTTGTCAGGAATTGAGTTAGGTTTATTTTATTTATTTATTACATTTTTAAAAATATTGACTTAATATTCCTATTTATATATTGTTATTATTTAAAACAAAAATATGTAGATCCAACAGATCAAAATTATTTATTATTATTATTTTTTTTTTTTTTTTTTATAATATTTATATATATTTTTATTATTATATAAAGAAAAATTTGTAGATTTATCAGGACGTATTCGTAATATAAATTCATTTGAAATATGAACTTCGATTTATTTTATATCATATTAAAATCGTAGCCACTTGTCCCTAATATTTTCATCTTAAGTAGTAGGTTGAGCATTTGTTTGGTTTGTTCTAAATTACCCATAATAAAAAGGGGTATGACAAAAATCTATGGATTGTTTGTTACAGAAGTTAGAAAAAGGAGCTGAATAAGCTGAATATTAAGAACGAATAAGAAAATTAACGATTCAGAAATTGATTTTGTATGGAAATTGTCTATAAATGAATTATTTGAACAATAAACAATATATATTCCAGTATTTAAAAATATTAAATTCTTAACCTTATTTCTATGCTGTTAGCATATCCAGCCAAACCCATTAAACATATCCTTACTTCATTAATTCCTTTTGACTCCAAAGAGATGCTGCTTTTTAAATAACAATTAATAATTAATAATAAAAATTATAAATATGAATTGACTTGAAATATGGAATTGTAAGCGCTATGCTTAATCCTAAAGAGATTAGTACTGTTTCAATATTTGTTTATTATAAATGAATATAGCGCTTTAATTTATTGATGCCGAAATTATTTTCTATTCCCCTGCATATTTCGCATTTCACTGTTATTCCCCTGTTATTCTCATTCGATTATCCAATTATATTCATGAGCATTCACCTAATGCACATTTGTAGTTTATTTATTATTGCGCATCGATCGCATTGAAATGATGTCTATTAAATTTGATGTCACAGCTGTAAGTGCAGCTCAGTTTATGTGCTGTCATTGTCTTGTTTTAGTATTTTCTTGGGCGCTGCTGCTGCTGCCCATTTCCTTTAAAATATGAGTAATGCATACTCATACACAAGATGCCAGCGTAATCGCAATAAAAGTAAAATTTACCATTTGCTTGTTGCTCGACGTGGCACTCGTCGCCTGGGCCCCTCAACCCCTTGGCTGTTGTTCTTGTTTGTATTGTATAATAATAACATAAAATAATTTATGGTACATGAAAGTCACAAAAATGCGAGCCCAGCTTTTGGGCCCATACTCCATATGCCATTGGAGTTGCTGTTGCTATTGCTGATGTTGCTGTTGTTGTTGCTGCTGTCAGTGGCAGCAGTTGGCAACTCATTTCGGGCGGCTCTTTACAATTTTGTAGCATGTTTTTTGGTAGCTTTCTATATACACACACACACACACACACACACATACACACACACGCACACTCACACATACATATACAGACTCCTATTTTCATACAATAAGTCGCAATTTCTATGCCTGGCATCGCATAGAAAAGACCTTAAAAATGGAAAACAAGTTGCTACGCTGCAATCGGGTATGCACAGCTCGGCCATGCGCTGTTAAAATGGAAATCAAGTTCTTATTCAAAGACGACTTGCTTACGATATGCATAGCTGTGCCTCTTGAACTGCAAGACCGAGAAATTTAGCTGAGGTCGAGCTTAATACATAGACTGCATTGTAGGTAGACTGACGATGCTTGAATCATAATTGCTGAACTGTAGTTAAATGAAAATCGAACTTGCAATGAGAGCAATTACAGCTTCAGTGACTCTAAGACTGTTAGCCACAGAGCTTTTGAAATGTCATTTCGTGTTATGTACATTTCTCAATCACATGAACTTGATACGAGTATTATTAAACCTGAATAATAATATACAAACACAGTAGAATCCGGTAATAACGACGCTGAATGGTCGGTATATCCGGAAGACACTTTAACCATATAAGTTTGCTCATATAACTTTTAAGCTATACAGCAGATTCTGCATATATGTAATAACATATCATTATTGGGTTTCACCAGCTTCTCTAACTTAAACTAATATGTATCCATCAAATTCGTAATAATTTCTAATTAACATTTGGAATTGGAATGAATATAAAATTAGAAATTACAATTCACAATTTAATCTAAATTTTGCAGTTTTTCTACATATCTATATAAAAAAACCAACAGATTCTATCCCTAGCAAACGGAAACTAGTTTGACTTCGAATTTATTTTAGTATTGTATTAAGCAGGCTAGCTTTCACTAGCTGAGAATTCTATAGCCTTTGCGAGGAGAGTAAAATCGAATGCTGCCAGCATCTCTATAGAGTGCCATGCAGCTTGCTCTAGAAAATATCCCCAGATCAATTAAAAAAAAATACATATTTATCGATAAGCAATTTGTGTCAGCCACGAATATGCCCCACCATATATAGAGAGCGAGAGTGAGAGGAAGAGAGCGAGAGCTTCCACAATGTAGGGAGAAAAACTTTCATTCAGTATGAACATTTTTGGGCAACAAGCGCTGCGCTTTTCTAAGCGTCTGCAGCGATGCGTCGTCCTTTTGTAATGCGAACTGTGCTGCGCCTTCGCCATCCTTGTCGCCTTGGCTTCAAGGCGTTTTCGCATTTTTGGCTCTTTTGTTTTAAGATGGGAAGGGGCGGACGGGGCGGCGTCGGGCTTTTGCGCTATGAATCCCTTTGAATTCGAGAGGCACGCGCTGCATTTGATGTTGGCGAAATTTGCCGCTCGACGTGAAATTCACAAATTCTGTGCGCACAAAGACGCGCAAAATGCAGCAGACAAAAAGACGAAGGACCTAACCAGGCAGCCAGTGTCCTTTGTGCCCGAGCACGTAAATTGTGCAGATAAGCGACGTAATTTGCTTTTTGTCCCGTCTCGCCAACTATAACTAAAAGTGAATCACCGACAACTGGGTATGCCCATTGCCCAGGATACTTCGCTTGGCCAAATACTGTTGGCCAACTTTGAGGACTAATTGGCAGTTGGTAAAGGGTATTTGCAGTCGTTAATTGAGCCGAGGCATTAAAGTCACAGCAAGCCGCAAATTTATAGCGCTATCAAATTACAGAAACACCTTAACCGAAGGACTCTTTTAAATGTCCTGCAGATGTTTTCCGCTTCAGCTTGTTTTAAAATTTCCCAAGACGGACCAAAAGCGAAAACTTTTAACCTGCCGCACAGGCTGTCCCTGTGCCATCTCTCTGGGTGTGTCTGTGTGTGTAGCTTCAATCTGTAGCTTCACTCTTAATTAATTAAAGCCGCAGGTGGGCAACATGAAACACCTGTCAACCGCTTGTCAATTCATCTCAGCGGTAATTAACAATTCAATGAAAATTCGTCACCAGCCTCCAACTGACGTCAACTTATTTTATTAGCTATTCCGACAGGCTTTTGTGAGGGCCAGAGATTTTCCCAAAGATTTATAGTTTCAACCCGTCAGCTGTCAAGGGAGCCAAAGAACAGGCGAAGGCAAAGAACTTTACGTATTTCGATAGAAATTCTTAAACTCTCGTAATACTTTGTGATTTTAGCTTAAATAATTTATTCCACTTACTGAAGTTATATAATCAGCAGCAGGGGCTATAGATAAAGATAGATATATATCTGTATCTTAGTTGGAAAAGTAACTTTATTATATACTATATAAATCTTGATATCATATCAGGTTTCATTACCAGCTATTGTAAGTATTTCAGCTTTATTAACTGACTCTACGTTTATTTAGTTACTCTCTCTCTGTCCCTCTCTATGTCTCACTCTCTGCCTCTCTCTCTGTCCCTCTCTCTCTCTCTCTCACTCTATTGTTTGCTTGTTAATCTCAAATGCAATTAGCTAGTGCCCAAATAAGTTGTTGATGTAGCTCTTGTTTGTTTTATGTGCCAAAAGAATACACCCAAAATCCACTCACGATGCGGGCAAGCAAAATGGCTACGCTTGCTCCCGCAGGAATGCAACTGTGCAAATGGTTGAAAAAAAAAAAAATGAAGGTAAACCTGAGCGCAAATAACAAACACGTGCTCATTTTTGATGACAGCTCTTTTTTTAGTTTCTTGCTTGTTTATGGTTGAGGTTTCTTTTTAGTTAGCTCGGTGCTTCAGATACCCTGTAAAGATGCTAAATGGTGGACATTTGAATTATATACAAATGAAATGCCCTTTGTTATGCATATTACGAATAAATTTGCTTAATTGGGGCGAATTAATGAATGCTTTATTTTTATTGCTTTAATATTACTAGGAAATATATAAATTATTCTCAGCTTATGAATTATACAAATATACATTTTTTATTATTTGTTTTATTATTTATTTATTTTAATACTTAAAATCTATTTTTTCTTTGATTGTTAATAA